ATTGGTATTGAATGCCATCCAAAGTGATATTCTTCAGCAAATTGTTGTACGGATTTACTAATTAATTGAATTAATATTAAATTCTTATGAATTACAAATGGAACTTAATTTACATAGTTATAGTCATCATGTTTATACATGTTTATTTATATGCAACATATTATTAAATCTCAAATATCAAAATATTTAACATAATAATAATTAAATTATTATGAATTTTAAAAATTATAAAATCTAAACATATATTTCATTAATTATATAAAACACATACCATTTGAAGCCATAATTCAAACAATTTCTTTAAAAAATAAAATAATTTGTAAATGAAATGCAATTCAAAGGAAACAAATGTTTTGAGGAAATAGACGATTGATCATTGATTTCTAGTTTTGCTATATATTTATGACTATAATGTCATTGAAAACTAATTATGAAATATTAACCACAATTGTCTTTAAAGTATTGCCTAATTGTTTAAGTGTTTTCTCAAACTTTTACGTCAGTTTGAATTTGATATAAGAAAAGTTAATGTGAATAATGCAGTAATTTTTGCAAAGCTATCTCTCATTTGCAATCACTTTCATAAGAGTACAACTCATTTGAATGTGTTTTTCTAGACGTACCCATAGATGTACTCTATTTTCATACACAAATACTTCACTATTGCTATACTATTCTACACTATTCCCACACATCTTGCGATACATCTGTACATCAGCTAATCGTAACATCAGATCAACACAACACTACTTCCCAATTATCTGTATTACCTTTGAATGCATTCGTATAACAAACTATTTAATTGCATTCAATATATTTATACCAATCATCTAATAATTTTGTCGATCGAGTCTTACATTCAAAAGAAACTTAATTCACTTTTAAGAATTGGTAGCCGTAATCCTATAACCATGGTCAATTTAACAATATCAAATAACCAATATAAAAGATATTGCAAATATTCTATCACTATCAATATAAATTTAAATTACGAGTATGATTCAGTACACAAATTAATTTTTTATTTAAATTTAAATATTTTAATACTGGTATAAAATGTTGATATACAGTACGTTAATAATAAATATATATGTTTAATAAAAATCAATAATGAATTGCATTTCTCTGTGTTTTATTGTTTTCAACAATATTTTAAATTATATTTATAAAATTCATATAAATTCTCCAAACATGTAATCAATAGTTATTTTTTTAATATCAATCTTAATAATAGATAAAAATAAATAATTTATATAAAATTGAAACATCAAATTGCATGACAAACCCTTTCCGTTCATTCAAATATATATTAAAATCTATATTAGAATATAATTTAAATTAATTATTTCTGTTGGGATTAAAGAGTAAAATGTTTTGTGAATTCCAATAAATATGTGACGAACGGAACACAAGAGACCAAATGTAGGGAATGAAGAACTCCTCCGGCTGTTCGTCTTCCACGTAACGAAACCGCAATTCTGGGAATTTCTGTTCACAATTCAATTAGAATTACAGCACATCTTATTATAACAATATTCAACACAAATAAGTGTTTCAAAAACAAACCTTAAGCCTATCTGAAGGCCACTGAAGAGACGACTGTTGGATGATTTCATAGACTTCGGAAACCGAAAGGTTTCGATCAATGCCTTCAATGCGATTTGAGAAGTAAGTGAGAACTGTCTCAATGTTCATAACAATGTCCTGAAAGCATGGATGCGAATGAAACGGTTCCAACACTTGTCGTTTGTATAGTAAAGTATAGACCAAATTGGGATTATTAGTCAACTGTGCGGCTAAACAAGCGTTGATTATCTCCAGAATCATTCGCAATACTTCTTCAAAAATAGACATGTCTTGCGTTAATTCGGGCGCCAATGAACTGGTCTCGCAGTCCGAACTGACATCCGACTGCTCCACACCATTGGTCTTGCTTTCATTCAGTTGTATGTCTTTGAGAATTTTGGTGAACTTCTTCGACAACTTCTCAAAAAGCGAGACAAGC